ACAAAGAAGGTTCCCGTTCCAATTCGCCAGTCCTTTCCGCCCCCTTTTTTTCCCCCCCCCCCCTCCCTTCCCCCTGGGGGCAAATTTTGGGAATTTTCAGGTTTCGGCCTGGTTCCTTTTTTGTTGCCCCCGGTGAAATTAGAAAGATAAAGCCCAGGGGGGAATTTTTTTTCCCCCCCCCCGTTGAAAATAAAAGATTAGGTTTTGTTTTTTTTTTGCCCCCCCCCCCCCCCCCTTTTCCCTCCCAGGCCCCCCGGAGGGGGCCCTGTGGTGTTCCAGGGGGGGGCCCCCCCACGCCTTTTGGGCGCGTTGTGCCCCCGCGGGGCCCGTTCCCCTTCCTTTCCCCCTTTTTTTCCCCCCGGGCTTGGGGGGGGGGGGGGGTTGCGCGGGATTTCTTCCGGGGGAATTATTGGGGGGAGGGAAACACCCTGGGTTTCCCCCAGGGGGGCCCGGGGGGGCCGCCCCGGGTGCGTTCGGGGGGGGGGGGGGGGGGGTACTTATGCCGTAGTTGTTACAGACCATTGACCTCGCATCCCGGGACGGAGCACGCCGGGTTCTCACCGGACCAGGCGAAGCCTCTGTAGGTATTAAAAATCCATGCGCACACAATTGCTCCAAGATTCACCCACCTACAGCAGGAGGTACATTTTTGTTGGGGGTTGGGGCGGTAGTTCCGAAGTCCGAGAACGTTGCCGACATCCTTGTCTCCAGGTCTTGCTTTTTTTTACCGGGTTGGTGTTTTCTTTGTTCTCATATTCTTTCTGATCGCTTTGGCTTGCGTGAGCCAGATTTCGTTTTTTCTAAATGTTGGGTTTTTTTTGTTCTTTTGTTCGTGGTACAAAAAGCATGTGTCTCAACGGATTTTGTTCAGCTCTCAGAATTTCGCCCGGTTGGCATTGGTCTCCGGGTGGGTGTCTTTGGCTCTCGTGTGTGGTGCTATCAATCACCAGAGGCTGCAAGTAGGACGCACGTTCCTCGGGCGCTGGTGTAGCTCCCGCTGCTTCTGGGAACCGACGAGCGTTATCCTTCCTGCCTTCCTTCTCCGTGCCCGGCTTGGCGGGCGGTCGCCCAAAATCCGACCTCTGATGTGCCTCGCACGTATTAACGTTACTGCTCTTGCTGCTGCTGCTGCTGCTGCTGCTGCTGGCGCTCGACGACAGATCCGGTCTGTGGTTGGCGCCGAGTATGATGTTGACGGCTCTACCCCGACGATCGGCTCACCAACCGCTAGGCAAGTTGATTTGAAGCTCCAAGTCATATTTTTTTCTCGGATTCCTCGAAAAAACACGCCGTCGAGGGTTTCGCTCCTGTTCCCCCCCGAGGGGGAGACGCCCCCCGAACTCGCCCCCCCCCCCCCCTCTGCGACGCAGCGACAAATCCTCGATTGTGGTCGAATGGGGGGTAGACACGCGTTGCGTTTTTTGTTGAGTTCGGAGTGCCCTTGCTTGTTCGGGAACGTGATGGCTGGATGTCTGGCGGGGAGCGGGGTTTGGATAGCGAGAGAGAGAGGGGGGGGAGGGTCGTGGTTGGACGGACTATAAAGTAGTTAGGTTTTGTTGAAGCTCACTGCATATCGCAGTGCGATCCCTTTTGCCTCGAGTTTCTCCGGGTGGTCGTGCATGCGTTCGAGGCTGCTCGTTCTGCTTCGTGCAGTACTTTCGCCTGACCCTGCACGCGGAAGCTGTTTTCTTTGGTGCATCGTCTCTGCTCTGCTCTTTGTGTCATTTCACGTACGTACTGCTGTAGCGCATGGCTTTCGTTGGCCTGTGACCCAGTCGGGTGTAGTAGCGCTTGTCCCGGTTTTAGGTAGAGGTTGGAACGGCGTTCGTTTGTTTGTCAGGGCGGCAACAGCATCCATGATGACGATGACCACAACCATCCCGGCGACTATTGAGTAGGTGGCACCAACTCTTTGAACACCTGAAGCGAAAAACACGCAAGCTTGAACATGACGCGGAAGTGTAAGGTATGTGTCCGTGGTTGTGTCATGTTTTTTTCTTTGTTTTCGGCATGACGTTTCTTGTCCTTTCCCCTGAATGTTTTTGGTGAGCTACGCACGCGTGTGTGTCGTACATAATGCATATGGACGTGGACAAAGATTACCCCCTTTTTTTGCACGTCACGAGCGATTCTTCCGTTCTTTTCCCCTCCGTTTTAATCACCTCTGCTGCCTTGGGGGACACAATCGACAACATCGACATCAACATCAACAACTACCCAACAACAACAACGACAACGACAATGACAATGACAACGACAACGACAACGACAACGACAACGACAACGGAAAACAGGGAAGTGATGACGGACGTCTTCTTGACGTCGACGGCCGGGCTGTCGGCGAAGAGCTCCCTCTTCATCGCGTGGGGCCAGCTGCTGACCTACGACCTGGCCCTCACGGTGGCCAACGGGACCGAGTCCCTCGACGTGCCTTGCAACGACGCCGACCAAAACGGGGGGATAGACGTGTGGTGTCCCCTAGGTGCCGCCTCGGAGGATATTCCCTTCTCCAGGTCAGTTGTCTCGTCGCGTGTCTAGTTTAATGCGTGGCGGGGGCCGGCGGGAGCTCCCCCCCCCCCCCTCCCTTCCCCCGCCAACGGAGTTCTGAAGAGCTAAACGCCCCGCCTGCACGTCAGTAGAAGTATGTTTGTTGTCAAAGAGGCGAGCATGCGGTGTCCACACGTACACACGTAATTGTTTTTTGTTTGATTTCGTGCTGTGCTCAGCAGGAAGTTTCTTGTAATCATTTTTTTATTGCTTCCCAGGAGTAGATGATGAAGCACCATGTTGACTCTTACAGCTATTTAGTCGCGCATCTGCTTCGTTCGATGGACTGGGGTTCCTTTTTATTTTTATTTTTTCCAATTTTCGTTTCGTGTATCTCCGCGCGATACATTGCACACGCACAGATCGGACGCCGCGGAGGGAACGGACGGCGTGCGCAGCCCCATCAACTACGCGTCCTCGTACATCGACCTGGACTTCGTGTACGGGAGAAGCGCGGAGGAGGCAGAGCTCCTGAGGACCATGGAAGACGGTTTCATGAACGTCACGGACAGTGGAGTGCCCTTCCAGAACGAGGACGGAACGTGGCTGGTGAGTGTGGGAGAAAGTCGGGCAGAGAGGCAAAGAGAGACACTTGTGTGCTTGTGTGGCCGGTCGGTCGGTCGGTCGGTCGGTCCTGAGTTTTTTGTTTTTGCGGCTGACGGGGGCATGTATAGCGTTTTTTGTTTTTCTACGTTTGAGTAGAGTGATCTGAATAGAACGTTGGTCGGGGAGGGGGGGTTATCGTGCGTGACGTGATCTCCAGACGAAAGACCCAGGTATTGCACCCCGTTCGAAGTTGGGGAGGAGGGGGAGTTGACCCATGTGTGTAAATTTTATTGAGAGGCGATACGGAGGGGGGGGGGGGGGGGGGGCCAATCCTGCCCCAAGGGGGGGTCCGTCCCCGAAAAAAAATAGGGGGAAAGGGGGAAAGACCACCCCGACCGACCAACCCAAACCCAGACCCGGGGGGGGCCAAAAAACCGA